CCGGGCAACCCGTACAGGCCCCCCCCCCCCCACAAGGATGGATACCAGACAGACAAAACCACCATCCCAGGGAGGGAGGCGGAGGCCACCGGAAGGAGGGCATCACCGGGGCTCCCCAGGTTTGTCCGGGTCGGCGCGGTAGAAGGAGGTGAGATGGTCAGGATCAAGGATAAAGGAGTGGGGGATCCAAGACCGCTCCTCCGGACCATAACCCTCCCAGTCCACCAGGTATTGGAAACCTTGATCCCTAGGGCGGACATCCAGGATCTGCCTGACGGTGTATGCTGGACGGCGGACAGAGGGGACTGGAGGAAACCGGTTTGATCTGGGAGACATTAAAAACAGGGTGAATACGGAGGGAGTCAGGTAATGTGAGTTTGACTGCAGTGGGATGAATGATTTCCTGGATGGTAAATGGCCCCAGGAACCGAGGTGATAGTTTGGGGCAGGCACCTTTGATGGGAATGTGGGCGGAGGAGAGCCACACCTGTTGCCCAACCTGGTAGGTAGGAGCGGCCCGACGGTGGCGATCAGCAAGCCATTTGTTTTGGTCAGCAGTATGTAAGAGAGCGGCCCTGGTCTCACCTCAGATAGACTGACAACGGTTGATGTGAGCTTGGACAGAGGGGACAGCAATATCGGTTTCAGCAGAGGACAGAAGGGGAGGCTGGTAACCAAGGGAGGCCTGGAAGGGAGAGATATCGTTGGAGGAGCTAGAGAGTGGGCATATGCCACCCAGGGCAACAACTGGCTCCGGCCCTCAGGTGAGGAACTGGTTACACAACGGAGTGTGTTTTCCAGCTCCTGGTTCAGCTGTTCAGCTTGGCTGTTGGGTTGGGTGGTGATAGCCGGAAGAAAGACAGGGACGTGCTCAGATGGCTGTGCAAAAAGCAGACCAGACGTGAAGTGAATTGTGGACCACGGTCAGAAACAATGGTGATAGGAGTGCCGTGAATGCGAAAGACGTGCTGAACCAGGAGCTGGGCGGTGTCTAGTGCAGTGGGCAGTTGAGGCAGGGCGAGGAAATGGGCGGCTTTGGAAAAATGGTCGATGATGGTGAGAATGATGGTGTTGCCCTGGGAGGGAGGCAGCCCGGTGACTAAGTCTAGGGCTATATGAGACCAGGGCTGGCTAGGTGTAGTCAGCGGCCGAAGAAGACCCACAGGGGACTGATGGAGTGGCTTGGATTGCGCACAGGGAGCACAGGCGGCTATGTACTCCCTGGCATCTTTCTCTAGGGTGGGCCACCAGAAGTAACGTTTCAGGAGTGTAATGGTTCGTTGTACACCCGGATGGCATGCTAGCCGAGAGGCATGGGTCAAGGGTCTGGGCTCTAGCAGCCTGGTGGATGTATAATCTATCTGGTGGTCCCACCCCCAGATCAGGTTCTTGTTGTTGGGCCTCCCATATGGTATCCTCGATCTCCCATGTAATGCACACTACCACACAGGAGGTGGGC